GCTGCAGGAGAGGCAGCAGCAGCAGCGATCCTCAGCACGGAGCAAATGGTGAGGAAAAGCAGGAAGGTGAACGGGTCTGTGCTCCACAAAAGCCCCGGGCTGTGTGTGACGTTTCCTACAGTAGCTGTCGGTTCACGTCTTTGTCAAAGAGCAGATCGTCTGATGGAGGTGGAAAAGCGTAGCCTTTGGCTGCACTCATTTTCTGCTTTGTCATTTTGTTGTTTTTGGAGCTTTTAGACGAGATGCCGGTGCCACTTCTAACATCTGTTTCTGTCTTCATTATTATTTCTATGAATATGTTGTTTTCTTTTCATTTTTAATCCAAATGATTACGTTATAAAGCGTCCAGCTCCTCTTCCACTGCACGGCTGGTGTGTACCATGGAGCTGCATCACATTAGCAGCATCCTTTCAGGGCCGGACTAATAACTCTGTAAACCATCGTTGTGAGTACAGTGTCAAGTGAGTGTGTATCCCTCTACAATCGGTATTCAGTGTCTTTTGTCTCTTTATGCTGCTCTGACGGAATGGCATTCATGCCTCAGTTTTATGATAATGGTCCGAGCAGCTCTGAATGGCTGTCACTGTGCAGTGAATAGGATTCATTCACAGTGTGCCGCTGTCCCATATTGCAGCTGCAGATTATAGCTGATAAAAAAGACTGTTGACCTCATGAGCCATGCCACAGCAGAGGCCCTGTGTGGAGAAAAAAAAAAGAAAAAAAAAGATAGGATTTCACTTCTGGTGAAGATTACACTTCAGTTTATTCAACTCTAATTCTGTTCTGAGGTCTGTTCCCTTAATGGCTATTAGGGGAATACTTTAAAAAGGAAACCACTTCAGTATTCAGAGTTTGGTGAAGATTACACTTCACCTTCCTGCCCTGTAGAGGGTGCTACAGTGGCATTCCATTGCCAGACTCGTTGTTTTTGGTGTTTCGGTGTTTCTGACAATAAAGAAAGTCTAAGTCTACAATTAGCAAGGATTTGGTGAAAATTGTTACGATACGTTTGAATAGTAGTATTTCCATCTATGTAGTATTTGATTTTTTTATAAACAGAAATATTCGACATATTTCCTTCAAGTTGACTTCATCTTATTTAAATTTAAGTGACCCAAGTATTTTATTTATTTCATCAAATTAAACCAAACTGAAATTACTACAGTTTAGTCAAGAGTAAGACCTGAAGTGAGGTTAGTACTTAAAAAAAATTATATTGGAATTTAAATGCACTGGTCTGAAACATTGAGACGTATATTTCACCATTTTAAGAATGAACTGATTTAGCGTTGATGCAAATGAAGAGAGAAGAACGCCACAGCGGGGCGGGGACCACTGCAGTCACAGCACTGATGAAATTCTACTTCAGTCTTTGAAGATTTCTGGCAAAGACAGACGCAACGCGTCCTCGTCACACACCCAAATTAATCTACATAATTCCTTGTTCTGGACGGCTCCCTGTGACGTCATCGTCCTCACGGAGGAGCCGTCTCGCTGTCCTGACGTAAACATGTGGTGCATGTGACCTGTACACTGTCAGGAAGAACACAAATGGTCCACTGGACCAAACTCAGAGCTTCAGGCTCCAAGGTGGCAATTTGTGAAATAATCCGTTTCCTATTTTCTGTTGATCCCTCATCAGTGCGCGGCCCCTGAAGTCTTTCATAGAACAGCTCAGATCATGGTTTTAAAGAGATATTAAAATGAACCGCTGATCATAAAGTGTGGCAGACCTTGCAGTCACAGCAAAATGGACACACACACACACACACACACCCAAACGTGAACCAACAATACAAATCTAATATTAAAAATCACTGGGTTGACACACACAATCGCAGGAAATGAGTTTCATATCTGGAGACGACCCGATCCTATTATGTTCCTGAGCCTTTGTGTGCGTGTGTGCGTGTGTGTGCGTGTCTGTGTTGTGCAGCACAATGGAGCTTTTGTGCCATCATTACTACGTGTGGCAAATAATAAACCGCTGGCACAGTGGTTGACCTGGTGTATCAGTACCAAATGTCACATTCATCGCAGTTTGGTGAAAACTTTGTTTCTTTCTCTCTTACAGAGGAGCTTTGTTTTGTTCACTTGTTTTGTTTTTGGTGGTACTGAAGTGAGGCATTGGCCCAGAGCCGCTCTGTGTAATAAATCTGAAAACAACAATGATTCATAAATACAGTGGAACCTCGAGATACGAGCATCATCTGTTCCTGGACCGAGCTCGTAACGCGAATCATTTTTTGCCATAAGAAATAACGGGAAAAAAAATGAATCCCTTCCGCCAGCTTATTAGTGCTAATAACAATGGAAAAAACATGTTTTAAATTGCTATATAGACATACAAACACACAAAAAAAATTACGTAACGTACCTTACACTTACACTACGTAACTTAAATTATCTTAGAATTAACTTAACGTACATATTTTTCTACTTTTCCTTTTTGTTTTTTTCCCGACACAATACGGAAGACTTGCAAGAGATGCGTACGGAAGTCGATGAACACGTGAATTGAACGAGTGAGGCGGTGTGGGCTGCTCTGAGTGCTCGGCCGCCTAGTGTCAGGGTCTGTAAATGCGTTCGTATTTCTAGTTCGTATGTCGAGACGCTGGTATCTGGATGTCGGAGTCTGTAAATGCGTTCGTATATTTAGTCTGTACTCGTATCTCGAAGCAAAAACTCGCTCGAAGGCTCGCTCGTGATATTCGTATGTCGAGACGCTGGTATCTGGAGGTTTGAGGAAAATACATTCACAGAGGGGGTTTTCAACAGGGGGCGCCGCAGCCGTGTGTGACGTGTGACGAACACTCACTCCATCCACACCCACTCTGCAGCCCCATCAATTAGTGTGCATCAGAGCTGGACCTGAGCAGAGAGCTGACAGAGGTTAATGAAGTTATTAACCATGTGAATGGAGGGAAGACTGAAGTGACTAAAACAGGGAACACACACACACACACACACACACACACTCACACACACGCTGCTGGTGTTCGAGATGAGGTTTTAATCTACAGTGGAGTGAACTGCTGGGTGATGAAGAGGAACAGGAATTAATATGTTCTCGTCAGAGAGAAGTCACTTATACGTGAAACCAGACAAAGTCCACTTTTGGAGGACACGCAGGACACACGCCCTTGAATAAAGAAAGGAGGTTAAAGCTTTAGAAACAAATACGATCTGTGTGTAGTCGTGTAATTCAAAATCATGATACAGATCAGGACAAATGAGCTGTTTAGTTTTACATCTCATTAAAGCGTTCAAGCCTCTGTGGAGATGACTGTGCTGCTGTCACTGTCGCCTGATGTTTAATTGGAAAAGATTAGTCAATGCTAAAGTATTCGCCACAAGTATAAAGTACGCCCTAAAGCTTAAAAACGAACATTTATCAGAGAGAGAAAACCAGAAACGCTGGGATCACAATAAATGATTGAAAAATGTTTTCATTGAAAACAAACAAGAAACAAATTTGACAAATATTTTATTTCCTGCAGTAGTGGCCGCCCAGAGACGTGTAAATAATCTGTGTTTAAATTTGGGGTAGAACAAAGGATGGGATCAAGGATTGTATGCAGTTTAAATGACATAACCACACGGTGGATAGTGGGTATTAATCCTGCCTTACTGCAAGAACATCAGCAGTTTGATTCCTGGTAGTTTATTCCCACAGTCCAAAACATGAAGGGCTGTGTTAACTGGACCTCGACCTCTGACCCTACCTTAGGTGTCAGGGCAGGTACAAGAACGAGATGTTCTCGGTCCGAGTTCCGATTCACCGTCGACATTTTCTGACTGACCCACATCTCCACATCTTCAACGACTGCTTTCTGCTCCTGTCATTTGTAGGTCATCGTGATAGAGTCAGCTGTCAGCGTCACGCTCACAGACGGCGGTGCCCTAGCCGTGTGTCTGTCTCTGTGTGTGTGTGTGTGTGTGTGTGTGTGTGTGGGTGTGTGGAATGCTCTGACAGAAAGTTGGCACCAGTGCTGCTGAACATCAGACACAATGTGACATTTGTTCAGAGACGGTTCACCAAAGGATACAGGACCACGATGGGTTCTTCTAGAGTCATTTCTGACTTTACGGAAAAAAATTGTTGGAACCAAATCAGTTAATGGGAAAAACGTGTGTGTGTTTATAGAGCGGACGGCGTGTTCGATGACATGTAGGGTTCTCTTCTCGGAGATATTTCACACAACTGGACTCTCAGACCTGTGGGTGTGGTGTTTATCCAGACGTGTTCAACGATCGGTTTGACTGTTGTCATCGTGACATTTCATCTGTTCAGGTTTTGTTGGATGTGACGGCGCTGTCAGAGACGTTCGTTTGCAGAAGTGTTTGGATCGGGGGTGTCCAAATTAGAGGTTCAGATTTGATGAAGTCCACATGCTAACGGCTCGCTAATGTTCTGCCTGGAATTTCTTTTTTTTTAACCTTTAACATTAAATGCAAATTAAATACTTTATGGGAATTCAGTCAAAATCAATGAACTTTTCTCACAGCGTTGGTCACTGATTGGCTGAGAAGGGCCTGCAATGCAGCAATTAAGACACTGGACGTTTACAAAAAGTCAGTGACGGTCCTGCTACTGCTGAGCTAAAGTTTAAGAATCTGTTCAAACTGTGCAGGAAAACCAACAAAAACATGGAGCCATTTTTGACCATCAGATAGAAGATTGTAAATGTAAAGGGAGGTGGAGATGATCGGAGCAACAGCAGAGGAGGAATAATAATAATAATAATAAGTTGAACTTCATTGATTCCACAACAGGCTGCCCCCTTGCAGGTGTCAAGTATATGATACCTCTGGGAATCGAACCCAGGACTAGCATGCGACAGGCATGCTAACCACTACTCTATGGAACCACTGTCTATATAGGGATAGGGTGAGATGGAGGCTGATGATCCTCAGTGGAGAGCCCTGAGGGGAGCAGCTGAAAAGAAGAAGAAAAAAAATTAAAATAAAAGATACTGCTCTGTCCCATCAGTCAGTCAGATCTCAGACAATTCTAGTAAAAAAAGTCTAATATACCATGTAGTAACTGCTTGTAAATTGATTTAGTAAAATAATAATAATAAAGAGAACCGTAGCCGTCAGCGAGCTAACTGTGTGAAATTGAATATGTTTAAAAACATGACACATGGTCCAGTGACCTCCCACAGGGGTTTGAATTTCTCTTGTTATGTGCAGTAGTTTTCACTCACGGTGTAACTGAGAAAGAGCTGACGGGATCTAAACCCTAACCCCCCGGCCCCCACTGCTCCACCGTCTTCAGCTTCGAGGTGAGTTATGGGCTCTTTATGGCCTGTGTCACAATGGAACGGCAATCTGTTTAGAGACAATGAGATGAGGTAATGATGCCTTGTGCTCATGTGCAGTACGCTGCGCTGCCTGCGAGTGTCTCGGCGGCAATGACCGCCTCTCACAGCCAGGGGGACACAGAGAGACAGAGACGGTCGGTGGAAAGGGCAGCGCTCATTTGCATGAGAAGAGCTCTTCAGGCCAATGGCCAGACTGAAGAGGGGGACGATCTGATCCAAGAGGAAGTGACGTGTCGGGTTTCACTCTCCTCCACCTTTTTCTCTGGCAAGACACACAGAGAGAGAGAGAGAGAGAGAGAGAGAGAGAGCGAGGGAGAGGAAGACTAAGTGAGAAAGAAGGGGCGAGTAGGGTAGAAGTAAATGGGCCAAGCAGCAGTCTCATTCTTCCTCTGTGAGATCACGGAGCAGCAGCAGAATGTGTCAGGATCAGCTTGACTCCAGAAAGAAAGAGTGAGTCGTACTCCAAGACAGAAAGGACGAGGACAGGAGGACGAGGGACAGAAGGCAGGAAGGGTGGAAGAGGAGACTTTTAGGACTTTTGGGATCTACTCTGTCCATAAAGGATCTAGTGGAGAAGCGTTCCCCACGGGGGCTGAGCTACAGCCCTGCCCCGGAGTTGGCAGAAGTGCCGCTGCAGCACGAGCAAAATGAACTATCTGGTGAGTTTGTGTTTGTAGGAAAAACCTCTGCCCTTGAGGCATTGGAGCTTTTTTTTGTTTGTTTTGTTTTGTTTTGTTTTTTAAAGTATGTGTCTCAGCTGGTATTTTCATAGGTTTGAATCCCTCGGCGTTTGAGTGCGAGTCTAGACCCCATCTGTGCTCGTACTCAGACTTTGGAGCTTGAAGGAAAGGGAAAAAGTGAAGGGGGGGAGGAGAGGGAAACCAGTGAAGATTTTCTCCGTGGATTCCTACCTTTTGTTGGATCTCAGCAGGGACTGAGTGTGTGTGAGTGAGTGTGAGTGTGTGTGAGTGTGTGTGTGTGTGTTTTAGGAGGAAGGGGAGGAATGAGATGGAGGGGAGGGGGGGCTCGAGGGTTTAAAGTCAGTTCACTCTGGTTGTGGAGACTCGGCTGCCCTGTAATGGAATGTGCAGAGAAAAAAGAGGACAGAGAAGCTAAAAATACCCCCCCCCCCCACACACACACACACACTCCACCTCCTGCTCTTCTCAGATTCTTAAATAAAAGTGCAAAAGTTTTAGAGACTACAAAAGATGAGGATATAAAAAAAAAGACATTTCCAAACGGTTCAAAGTCAGGACGTGTCCCTGACGCTGATGAGACGTGAATTCATGTCCGTCACTTGATGCCTGTAATCCTCTTGAGGACTTAGTGAAAATACTGTTCAACTTTCAGCTGTGAATGCACCGCAGCAGTGCAGAACAAAAACTCGGCACTGAGCACGTTGTTGCCCCCCCTTCCCCCCTCCCATTCTCTACCTATGACTGTTTTCCTTTTTCTCTGCTTGTCCTCTGCCAGTGTTTAAATTCAATATTCAATTGTCTACGGAGCGAGGATTAAAAAGGTTTACAGCGGAGATAGTAAGAAGAGAAGAAAGAGAAATAAAAGAGAGAGAGACAGAGAGAGGGAGAGAGAGAGAGAGAGAGAGGCAGAGGCAGCCCCATGGTCTGTCTTTCTGCTGACTCAGAGGAAAGTGGAGAGAAATGAAGGTTTTATGGCCAGAGGACAGAGAGAGAAGGAAAGGCTACAACAGAGACGAGAAAAAAACAAACAAAAAGAGGCAGGAAGAGATGAAATGTACGAGCTCTAAGAATGATGATGATTTAGGGAAATGGGGAGAGACAGCGTTGGACTGGACACGAGAAAGAGAAAAAAAAAAGAAAAGCAAATGGTTTGTGAGCAGAGAGCAAATGGAAGAAGGAGGAGAAAGATGTAAAAAAGACAAAGAAACAGGCACTTTCTATTGTTGAAAGGCTCCTGCGTCAGTGTTGGCTCACTGTCATACCACAGTGTGTGTGTGTGAGTGTGTGTGTGTGTGTGTGTGTGATTGAGGTAACCATACAGTCAGGAATGTGGCAGACAGTGAAATACTGTGGAGCGGATCACTGTGTGTGAAACTAGTAATTACACGGCTGTAATTAGTGTGTAATTAATATAACATCACATTCCACTGTGTGGCTGTGACTGAAGTTTCACACTCGCTGTAACACAACACTGTGTTAGCGTTAGCCCACGCTTCTGTTTACCATACAGATCCAAATGTAAACTTTTCATCTTCACGGGGAAATCCGAAATCACAGATCAGAGAGAACGATTCCACAGCAGCCGTGAGCTTTAAAAAAAAAAAAAAAATTCTTATTAACTGAACACAAAGGCTTTTTTTAAACCAGTATGCTAGCGATAATGTACCGTATTTTGCGGACTATAAATCGCTCAAGAGAATAAGTTGCAACAGCCAAAAAATGCATAATGAAGAAGAAAAATCCCATATATAAAGAGCGCCCTCTAGCGGCTATCGGTGTGAAAATAACAAACATGAAATTATACATTTTAATATATAAGTCGCACCTGAGTATGAGGCAGAAACCAGACCAAAGGATGAAAAAAAAGTACGACTTATAGTCACAGCCTGTACGATCACAGAAAGGAACAGAAACAAAAAACAAAAACTTTACTGCACATCGTGACCTGTGTCTGAAAGTGAAGGCAGGTAGTTGTGTTATGATGTTATGATCTGTCAGATTCAGTCTTCAGGCCAAAGGATACCGTTCATAAAAACATGGAATTTTGTCTTGGAATTCGTTTTGGTGTGGAGGAAATTTGAGTGAGGGGAAAGTCACTCTCTCTTTCTCTCTCTCTCTCTCTCTCTCTGTGTGTGTGTGTGTGTTGGAGGTGAGGGGGAGTTAATGGGCCAGATCTGAAACAGTGTTGGCCTGAAATAGTTGAAGAGGATTCCCTCTGTGTGTGTGTGTGTGTGTGTGTGTGTGTGTGTGAGTGAGTATCGGGTTCACATATTCATCCAAACCACCAGGTTTCCCTGACTCTAACTTGACCCAGGCTAATTAAAACAGACTGCAGATCTGGGCTGTGAGCGTTAGCGGGAGGAGTCGGTGTCGGAGAACTTTGAGGTGATTATTCACATTTGTTTCTTTCTTTTCGAGGTTTTTGTTCTTGATGGTTTTTCCAGATTTGGACTTTCAATGATTTTGCGTAACTCAATCCTGTGATGTATGAAAACAGTCCTATTGAGTTCCCAGTGGCAGAAACTGAATCCCATCTTGTTCTTCAGAATCGGATTGATACAGGAAGTGTGGGGAAAACAAGTGTTTGTAAATATATAGACCAACTA